CTACCAAATATACTAATATATATATTTATATATATATATATATATATATATATATATATATATATATATATATATATATATATATATATATATATATATATATATATATATATATATATATATATATATATATATATATATATATATGTTTGTGTGTGTGTGTGTGTGTGTATATATATATATATATATATATATATGTCGTACCTAGTAGCCAGAACTCACTTCTCAGCCTACTATTCAAGGCCCGATTTGCCTAATAAGCCAAGTTTTCCTGAATTAATATATTTACTATAATTTTTTTCTTATGAAATGATAAAGCAACCCCTTTTCTCTATGTATGAGGTCAATTTTTTTTATTGGAGTTAAAATTAACGTAGATATATGACCGAACCTAACCAACCCTACCTAACCTAACCTAACCTATATTTATAGGTAAGGTTAGGTTAGGTAGCCAAAAAAAGCTAGGTTAGGTTAGGTTAGGTAGGTTAGGTAGACGAAAAAACATTAATTCATGAAAACTTGGCTTATTAGGCAAATCGGGCCTTGAATAGTAGGCTGAGAAGTGCGTTCTGGCTATTAGGTACGACATATATATATATATATATATATATATATATATATATATATATATATATATATATATATATATATATTAGTATATTTTGGTAGCAGTCTTTCCTGTAGACATATATTATTAAATATGACCGAAAAAGTAAGATTAATAATTCTAACACGAATTTTCTCAATCTTTCGTACATTTCTTTTCACTGTTGGAGGTAAATTAAAAATCAATTCTCCAAAATTCATTTTTATTTCTAGTCTGACGCGACACGAGCGCGTTTCGTAAAACTTATTACATTTTCAAAGACTTTAGTTTACAAAGTTCAGTTGTGTATTTGTAAACTAAAGTCTTTGAAAATGTAATAAGTTTTACGAAACGCGCTCGTGTCGCGTCAGACTAGAAATAAAAATGAATTTTGGAGAATTGATTTTTAATTTACCTCCAACAGTGAAAAGAAATGTACGAAAGATTGAGAAAATTCGTGTTAGAATTATTAATCTTACTTTTTCGGTCATATTTAATATATATATATATATATATATATATATATATATATATATATATATATATATATATATATATATATATATATATATATATGTCGTACCTAGTAGCCAGAACTCACTTCTCAGCCTACTATGCAAGGCCCGATTTGCCTAATAAGCCAAGTTTTACTGAATTAATATATTTCTCTAATTTTTTTCTTATGAAATGATAACGCTACCCATTTCATTATGTATGAGGTCAATTTTTTTTTATTGGAGTTAAAATTAACGTAGATATATGACCGAACCTAACCAACCCTACCTAACCTAACCTAACCTATCTTTATAGGTTAGGTTAGGTTAGGTAGCCGAAAACGTTAGGTTAGGTAGTCGAAAAAACATTAATTCATGAAAACTAGGCTTATTAGGCAAATCGGGCCATGCATAGTAGGCTGAGAAGTGAGTTCTGGCTACTAGGTACGACATATATATATATATATATATATATATATATATATATATATATATATATATATATATATATATATATATATATATATATAATCACTAAGAACTCTTTGACCCGGCCAGGATTATATACAGGTTATATATATATATATATATATATATATATATATATATATATATATATATATATATATATATATATATATATATATATATATATATATATATATAATCACTAAGAACTCTTTGACCCGGCCAGGATTATATACAGGTTATATATATATATATATATATATATATATATATATATATATATATATATATATATATATATATATATATATATATATATATATATATATATATAATATTTATATATATAACCTGTAGAGAATAAGTCACAATCACGTGCCTGAAAACTAATAACCCAACCCACACATATGACATGGAAGCTATGTGGGGACATTTCTGACAATTCTGGACCCTTTGTCAAATCGAGTTGAAATTGATAAAGGTCCAGGGCGATTCGAAACGTCAACACTTTCCTTTCTTTTCATGTGTGGGTTGAACTATTTATATATAATTTATCAATATCTATCACACATACGTCAGATTAATAACTCCCCAGGCCAATATAACCGGACATTAAATAAAATGATTGAAAACGCTCCAAGTCTACATTATTGACCATATATTCGTGTGGCAGACAATAACACTTAAAATATATCACACTCAATAACAGTATTCTCCATTCACCAAGATTGGAATATTTATTTCCACGAAAGTGTGGAATGACAATTTATAAGAGTATTCTCGTTAAGTACCATCAAATCTAATAAGCACAGTCACGAGTCATTTATCGTTTCTTATTGCCCACACACACAAAAAAATAAGCCTCTTATTATCTTAAAGTAAACAAGAATAACTGGCTGTCATGAAGAAGATTCATATGTCCTGAATCACAAGGACTATCCAGAATTTATCATGCCTCGAGTCCAGTCCAGTTGACGTGCAAGATGAGGCTTCACGATTATCAGATTGGCAAAGTGCTTCGTGTCCCTGTAAGAAACTCTTACTTTGCTGCAGCTCCAACTAAGTACAAACCTTGAAGGAATTTAATCTAAACTTGCGAACTCCTGAACAAATGTAAACCTAATCACAGATTAATTTGAAGAACAAATTGATTGGTGGCGATATACACGCACAGACAACTCAACACTGGTATTAAAGTGAGGAAAATAATCTATACAAAAGCATAGAATAACTCTGATGTTATATAGATTATTTTCCACACTTTATTGTGTGTTTGGAGGCGCAATAACGTGGCTCGAAACACAGAACCCAACTCACATGAACAGAAAGGAGGGTGGCGACGTTTCGGTCCGTCCTGGACCCTTAGTGGCAACGTTTCTGTCCGTCCTGGACCCTTAGTGGTAACGTTTCGGTCCGTCCTGGACCCTTAGTGGTAACGTTTCTGTCCGTCCTGGACCCTTAGTGGTAACGTTTCGGTCCGTCCTGGACCCTTAGTGGTAACGTTTCTGTCCGTCCTGGACCCTTAGTGGTAACGTTTCGGTCCGTCCTGGACCCTTAGTGGCAACGTTTCTGTCCGTCCTGGACCCTTAGTGGTAACGTTTCGGTCCGTCCTGGACCCTTAGTGGCAACGTTTCTGTCCGTCCTGGACCCTTAATGGCAACGTTTCGGTCCGTCCTGGACCCTTAATGGCAACGTTTCGGTCCGTCCTGGACCCTTAATGGCAACGTTTCGGTCCGTCTTGGTCTTTATCACGTCGTAACTTATTAATTTATACATATATGAATGTTATCATTATCTAGTGGCCCACTTTCACCGGGATACTCCACTCTTCCGTAGATATATCAGCCGACATACGATCTTCCGCTCTTCTCTCGTCACTTAACGTATCATGTTAACATGAACACTTTCTTCATCACGTCCACCCATGAGACATTCAAAGTATTCTCTCCAACTTCGTCTTCTAATCTCCGCCTACGTCTTCTTTTTTTTCTTCTTTTTTGAGATATATACAAGAGTTGTTACATTCTTGTACAGCCACTAGTAGGCGTAGCGTTTCGGGCAGGTCCCTGGAATACGATCCCCGCCGCGAAGAATCGTTGTTACAACCAAGTACACATTTTACTGTTGAGTTAAACAGAGGCTACAGTTAAGGATTTGCGTCCAGTAAATCCTCCCCGGCCAGGATACGAACCCATGACATAGCGCTCGCGGAACGCCAGGCGAGTGTCTTACCACTACACCACGGAGACTGTAAGACTTCTAATCTCCGCCTTCGTCTTCTAATCTCTGCCTACGTCTTCTAATCTCCACCTACGTCTTCTAATCTCCGCCTACGTCTTCTAATCTCCGCCTACGTCTTCTAATCTCCGCCTACGTCTTCTAATCTCTGCCTTCGTCTTCTAATCTCCGCCTACGTCTTCTAATCAACGCCTACGTCTTCTAATCAACGCCTACGTCTTCTAATCTCCGCCTACGTCTTCTAATCTCTGCCTTCGTCTTCTAATCTCCGCCTACGTCTTCTAATCAACGCCTACGTCTTCTAATCAACGCCTTCGTCTTCTAATCTCCGCCTACGTCTTCTAATCTCTGCCTTCGTCTTCTAATCTCCGCCTACGTCTTCTAATCAACGCCTACGTCTTCTAATCAACGCCTTCGTCTTCTAATCTCCGCTTACGTCTTCTAATATCCGGCTACGTCTTCTAATCTCCTCACCATCCGTCTCTCTCCCATCATCTTTAATATTTCCATTTCCCCGTCCACCATCAGTCTCCCTGTTGTAGTGCTGTTTAAAGGAGCTTTATGTTTTCTAGTTTATTTCCCGTTAATATTTCTACCAATTTCTACCTGCGCTCTGTTTTTTCTGCGTAAGTGATCTCTTCACACACCCATTAATCTCATCGCGTTAACGTTTGATTTGCTCTCTTGTGCACTTTTTATTTATGAAATTCACTTTTTTCTACTTGTTAAGAACTTTTCATGCCACATATTCATCCCACATACCTTTGTGGGTTCCAGTGTGGGCAATTCTGTACACTTTACTGGGATTCATAACGAAACAAAAATCTTTTTCTCCGTCCCTAAGGCAGGGAAGAGAGAGTCTACTGCTTCTTTAAAGCTTGTTAGTAATGTTGTTGTTGTTGTTATAGATTCAGCTACTCGAAATAAGTTCCAAGTAGCACGGGCTATGGTGAGTCCGTAAATTACCTGGCACAGGAGCGGGGCAATTAGCACGGGCTATGGTGAGCCAGTAGTGGACTTACCTGGCACAGGAGCGGTGCTGTGTGAGTACTGTTCTTCAGTAGACAAACTTATTATAGCCCAAAAGGTCTCGGGATATGGTTTTTTTTCCCCCCCTCTCGGGGTCATCCGTCACCCCTCCTATACCTTCCATCTCCCTCCCCCACGTCTCTCTATCCTTCAACTTCCTTGGTAATCATTACGTGCTTCTGCAGGTATGGTGGCGCTGTTCCGGACGGTGGTGGGCGTGAGCGTGGTGAGCGGTCTGCTGGTAGTGCTGCTCTGGTCGGAGCAGCAGGTGGGGGTCAAGACCCCCGCCCACATTCACTTCCAAGCCCACGCCCGTGGCATCCCCGAGGGCGGGCCCAGTCTTCCCCAGGGCCATCATACAGACACCAGCTTCCCAGGTTGGTATTATAGTGGTGTGTATTTGTGTTAATTTAGATAAACGACGGTTTTTCATCGTGGTTTTTGGTGCCCGTAATTAGCCCCTTAAGCGTCGATTAACATGAAAAACTTCAGCAAAATTTCACCGGAATTGTAAATCTAAAGAAGTTTATTATCAATGCTTGTTTTATTGGGTATAATCGTTTATATTGATTGGTGGAGCGACGGTCTCGCTTCTTGCAGGGTCAACCTCTGATTCCCGGAGGTGCAGGCGGTTGGGAACCATTCGTTTACCCCCCTGTCCTCATATCCCAGCTCCGTGTCCTCATATCCCAGCTCCTTGTCCTCATATCTCTTCCAAACGATAAACAGTCGTACTGGCTTTGAGTTTTCGCCTCATAATGTCCTTACTTTTAATCAATATTTATAATATATTTAGCGATCTCGCCTCCTCCCTTGCTCGACACGCGTCCCACTGGGTGCTTGAAGTACTCATAATAGTCATCGAGTGAGTCGGAACTTGTTTAAGTATTAGTATATCCTCTTTATTATAATTTTTTTATATTAATTTCGACGGTATTTGACTCTTCATTATCGCAGATAGGAAGGCTGTTTGGCCTATTGCAGTCCCCGCCCCCCACCCCCAAGGAAGGCCAGTTACTGAACAAATCCACAAGGGCCGTCACGAGGATTCGAACCTGCGTCCGGGAGCATCCCAGACGCTGCCTTAATCGACTGAGCTACGACATGGTTAAAAGAGTTAAAACCGAAGTTCTACTGCCAGTTACTGGTCTGCTTCAGGATGCGACCCACAACAGTTGGCTAGCTCCAGGATAACTATTTACTGCTAGATGAACTGAGGCATCAGATGCAAAAATCAATAATTGCTAGGACAGCTATACAGACATTCCTTAAGAGGCCATCCACCACAGTTTCCTAGCCATCCGGGTGTTTATTCACCGCTAGGTGAACAGCGGCATCAGGTGTAAAAGAGGATGTGACAAAACGTCTCGTCGTCCTGTCCAGGAATCGAACCCGGGACCATTCGGTTGCGAGTCTACAGCTACGTTGGCTGCTGCGTGAAGACAGACAGGAAGGCTGTTCAGCCATTGAAATCACGGCTGTTAAACAAAACTTAAAAACGTGAGTGTAAAACAAAGCTTAAAACCACGGCTGTAAAACAGAGCTTAAAAACACAGCTGTAAAACAAATCTTAAAAACACGACTGTAAAATAAATCTTAAAACCACGATTGTAAAACAAATCTTAAAAACACGACTGTAAAATATATCTTAAAAAACACGGCTGTAAAATAAATCTTAAAAACACGGCTGTAAAACAAATCTTAAAAACACGACTGTAAAATATATCTTAAAAAACACGGCTGTAAAATAAATCTTAAAAACACGGCTGTAAAACAAATCTTAAAAACACGACTGTAAAATAAATCTTAAAACCACGATTGTAAAACAAATCTTAAAAACACGACTGTAAAATAAATCTTAAAAACACGGCTGTAAAACAAATCTTTAAAGCACGATTGTAAAACAAATCTTAAAAACACGACTGTAAAATATATCTTAAAAAACACGGCTGTAAAACAGAGCTTAAAAACACGGCTGTAAAACAAGCCATAACCAAGAAGCCTCCATTATATTCTTTGTTGACTATTTCCTCGTGGCCTTTTTGGTAGCCTATTCTCCTCTAGCGTGTACATTATCACGCTGACTCGCGGGGTTCGTACCATTGTGTATGTCTGAGGAGAAACCCATTATGCTTAGAAACGTAATCGGAGTGTTTCCGAATATGTTTCTAAACATAATTCTGATTGTGTTTCTAAACATAATTCTGATTGTGTTTCTAAACATAATTCTGATTGTGTTTCTAAACATAATTCTGATTGTGTTTCTAAACATAATTCTGATTCTGTTTCTAAACATAATTCTGATTGTGTTTCTAAACATAATTCTGATTCTGTTTCTAAACCAATACTTATACACACACACACACACACACCTATACAATTAAATTATACACTTTTTGCATGAGGAACATTTTGCTTACAAGTGAAATGTGAGATATATTGGAAAAGCAAAGCGTAGTTCAGCGTATATAGAGAGAAGTCGATAAAACATTTTGAGAGTTTTTATGTGAAAGTCTCGTCGGTAATAGATAAGTTCTCGGTACTGGAAACTGAATATACGGCCGAATGATTTGATCGCCAACTGATTCCAGGTTGAAACTGGAAGATGGTAATTAAAAAATGGAAAAGAAGCATTGTTGGAACAGATTTGTTTGAACTTATGAAGGATGGCGTTAAGACAATAGATATGTGTGCGGAGAGGAAATGTGTGTGTTTGTGTGTGTGTATTCACCTAGTTGTGCTCGCGGGGGTTGAGCTCTGGCTCTTTAGGCCCGCCTCTCAATTGCCAATCAACTCTTTTTTTTTCACACACACACCCAGGAAGCAGCCAGTAGCAGCTGTCTAACTCCCCAGGTACCTATTCACTGCTAGGTGAACAGTGAGCATCAGGGTGAAAGAAACTGCCAATTTGTTTGCGCCATCGCCGGAGATCGATCCCGGACCCAAGGATTACGAATCCCGAGCGCTGTACACTCAACCACCTGCTCCCCCCCCCCTCCGTGAGCCTGGTATGTTGGTATGTTTGGTGTGTGTGTGTGTGTGTGTGTGTGTGTGTGTGTGTGTGTGTGTGTGTGTGTGTGTGTGTGTGTGTGTGTGTGTGTGTGTGTGTGCTTGTTTGTGCACGTGCATATTCCTAAATATTCATTATGTGCAATAACAGAAAACAATATATCTGTACTCAATATTCTGTTCACTACCTGTGTTTACATATTCTTGGTTATGTGTGCCCAAACCAGAACAGTGAACTATCCAGGTGACCCCAACACCACATCGCCCCAGCTGCCGTCTCACACGACCGTTCACGACAGTATTACATAATCACATGACTGAACCTTTTAAGCAAATTGACGTTGTTCAAACTTCCTTCATAACAACCAGTTAGCGCTGCTGCTAATTACACCGTTGACTCCAGGTGGCACCAAGTGTTGTGTGGATACTGCCAAGACACACACACACACACACACACACACACACACACACACACACACACACACACACACACACACAGTGGGAGGAAGAACTTAGAGGAAAAACAGTGCAAGGTATGATGAACCAAGTCATATTGAAATGCAAGGAGGCTGAAGATAGATTTATTCCAACAATAAAGGAAAAAAGCAGGAGGGAATATAATAACCCATGGTTTAATAGACAGTGTCAGGAAGCAAAGGTGAGTAGCAGGAGGGAGTGGAGGAAGTACAGAAGGCAAAGGACAGAGGACAACAGGATTAGATGTAACAGAGCTAGGAATGATTACATTAACATAAGACGAGTGTCGGAAAGAAATTATGAGAACGATATTGCAGTCAAGGCGAAAAAGCAACCAAAATTACTACATAGCCATATAAGAAGGAAGATGTCGGTAAATGACCAAGTGACAAGACTGAGGAAAACAGAAGGGGCATATACAGAAAGCGACAAGGAAATCTGCGAGGTACTGAATGCAAAATTCCATGGAGTGTTCACTACCGAGCCTGAACAGCTCCCATTGTTAGAAGAGATTACCCAAGATGAAAGACTATCAGATATAGAGGTGACAGCAGAGGATGTAATGAAACAGTTGACAACACTGGATGCAAATAAAGCTGTTGGACCAGACAAAGTATCACCGTGGATACTTAAAGAGGCAGCGCAGGCTCTCAGCGTGCCTCTGGCAATGATCTTCAATGAGTCACTTATGTCGGGAGAATTGCCCAGTTGCTGGAAGGAGGCAAATGTCGTACCGATTTTCAAAAAGGGGGATAGGGAGGAGGCACTTAACTACAGACCCGTATCACTGACAAGCATCCCCTGCAAAATACTTGAAAGAATAATTAGGCTAAGACTTGTTGAGCACCTGGAGAGCATTGGGTTTGTAAACAAGCACCAACATGGGTTCTGGACAGGGAAATCATGCCTAACAAACCTTTTAGAATTCTATGATAAAGTAACAAGGATAAGGCAGGACAGAGAAGGCTGGGCAGACTGCATATTTCTTGACTGCCAAAAGGCCTTTGATACGGTACCGCACATGAGACTGCTATACAAACTTGAGAGGCAGGCAGGAGTAAGCGGAAAGGCCCTAGTATGGGTGAAGAACTACCTAACAGGAAGGAGCCAGAGGGTAATGGTAAGGGGCGAAAAGTCGGACTGGCGAACAGTAACAAGTGGAGTACCTCAAGGATCGGTGCTGGGACCAATCCTCTTTCTAATTTACGTAAATGATATGTTTACAGGAGTGGAATCATACATGTCGATGTTTGCAGATGACGCAAAATTAATGAGAAGAGTTGTGACAGACGAGGATTGTAGGATCCTCCAAGAGGACTTAAACAGGCTGCAGAGATGGTCAGAGAAATGGCTACTGGAGTTTAACACCAGTAAATGTAAAGTTATGGAAATGGGATCAGGTGACAGGAGACCAAAGGGACAGTACACAATGAAGGGGAACAGCCTACCTGTAACGATTCGAGAAAGAGACCTGGGAGTGGATGTGACACCTAATCTAAGTCCTGAGGCACATATAAATAGGATAACGACAGCAGCGTACTCTACACTGGCGAAAATTAGAACTTCATTCAGAAACCTAAATGAGGAAGCTTTTAGGGCGCTTTACACTGCCTACGTGAGACCCGTCTTAGAGTATGCCGCGCCATCATGGAGCCCCCACCTGAAGAAACACATAAAGAAACTGGAGAAGGTTCAGAGGTTTGCGACGAGGCTTGTCCCAGAGCTACGAGGGATGGGATATGAAGAGCGGCTGAAGGAACTGAACCTTACGACACTAGAGAAAAGAAGGGAGAGAGGAGATATGATAGGGACATATAAAATACTCAGGGGAATTGACAAAGTGGAAATAGATCAAATGTTCACACGTAATAATAACAGAACGAGGGGACAT